AGACAAGAAATCATGAGCCTTTCAAGTTAAACTCTTCTTTCTTGTTTAAGATGAACTACTAAGATCCCCTTCATGATTTCATTGCTGTTACCAAAAGGGTCTTTGCAAAGCATACTTACAGAGTTGAGATGAGCGATGGTGGAATAGACCCATGGGCGAGTTGAGCTGGAAGAGTGCACGCGGTTGGAACGTGGAAAAAAGCGCGGCCTTTTCTTTCTTCTTCCCGAAATGCAGTTGCACCCATGTGTGGATATCACGAGATAAAATGAGAACTGATACATTCACTTGATTGACTTACTTAATCCCAACATGAGCTAAATATGTTCGCATATGCTTTCTGCATATAATGTGCAGTCTACACAATGCTGTCACTTTTTACTAAAGAACATAAAACCCTTTAGTAAAATATACTAAATATAATTTAATAAATCTAACAGGTGACCAGTCTCCCGTTTTTCAGTGTGTGTCCAGCCTGTTATGACCAGAAGGCTACTGTTATTGCTTTTTGTGTATGAAAAGTTCTGTTTAAATGCAATGCATTATTAAATTGCTATGATAATAATTTACCCTTTAAGGAGGGGGACTCCTTAATTTTCAATTTCCAGCAATCTCCAAAGGCTACACCCATGCAATGGAAACATGGATTAAAAGGACAAAATATTGTCTACAATTCTGCATTCAGTTTAATTTCATCGCAAGGAAGATATATTACTATGATCACTGCAGAGCAAGTTGGCCTACATACTTTGTGGTAAAAGTAAGTAGGCTACCCTACTTGCAGCACATTGCCTCCACGGAAATTATGTATCATAGCAACCACCGCGTCTCGAAAAAAAACACTGCGCCTCCAAAAAGCACCCTGGCGCTCCCAGCTAGGCGTTTACTGAACAGCAGGTGGCGTTTTCAGCTGGCAAAAACGCTTTGGTGGACACAGGCCCTAAGGCTCTACTTGGGTCAGCTTCTATGTCGTGTATGTTGTTGAATGAAAGACTGATTGGATGTATTTGTCCTCCTAAACCTTGGGAGTTACATGAAGGATGTCTTGCACATTTTCAACCTCAACTTTGAAAAGAGTGTCTGACAAATGTGTACTTTGAAATCTATTAATGTAGTCACTCTGGAGTTTGACCTTTCTTTTAACTGCACTTCTCAGTCTGTTTAAATTACTGGGATGAGTCACACAATAGTCTTTAAAGGTACATTGAAATCAAAGGCAAATAATCATGTTAGAGGAAATCCCACAAATGTATGCAATAATTTCTTTTAAGCATCCCATTTTATATGACGCAGGGAAGTGGAATGACACTCCTCTGTGGCATTTATGGATTGAAACAAATTGCAGTTTACAATGATGTTAAAGCTTTTTATATCTGACAAATTACAACCTAGCATTTATTCCTCTGCTGCACTTTCTTTAATCTTTCATTGGTTGAACTCCCATGCAGAGACATATGCAACCTGTTATGAGGGTTCGCAATTTTAAAATTGTGTGATACATACCGCAGGCCATTACACAGAATAGGTTTAAGGCACTTCTTCATTGGTTTCACTTTTCAAACCCGGAGGTTGCTGCTTGGTCTTGCCCAAGGACAGTCACGTTTTTCATTGCCCTCTCACTGTTCCCTCCCACTACCACAATTCTCCCTTATTTCTCCCAATTCATGATAATGTTCAACTTTTTGCCCTTCTCATTACCACAATCTGTTTCTGGCACTGTACAACGAGTATAAGCCCTACATCTCTCTCTCTCTCTCTCCCTCTTCTATTTCCACCCAGACAAAAATACAGCTGCAGATGTGGAGGCCTTGGAGTTCTCTAAAGGCACCTTTTAACAGAGCTGGGGCTGCATAACGAAAGTAAAATAATAAGTAACGCAGGGTCGTCCTTAAGAATCTGAGCAAATGTGAAGCCCTACCCAACCGTGTGATGAGGTTGATTGGCACAAATGCACAATATGACTTAAATTATGAATTCAATTTTAGAAAACATTTGCATACATTAAAACATATTTATTTTAACTGAGACCCTAATATTTCATTCATGGAATACTCTAACATAAATTATGTCAGAGAGTAAAAAGTGTGTCAACCAAAACCATATCCCCTGTAGGGACGGCGAGAGGTCAGTCTGTATAACAACGTCATACTAAATGGTACACAATAGTCATGTTTTTGTATTCATTTGAATGGCCAGGATAATTTATATCTAATAGTTATTATATATATTATAATTTACCAGAATTTGACAACATTTTACACCTCAGCAGACAACAGCTCCGCATCAACATACTGTAAGTCAAAGCAGCCACGGCAACTACACAGTCAACAACAGGAACTAATGTGGGACATTTTGCAAGGAGATGAAGAGGGAGAGACAGCACCTGGATGAGAGAAAGAGATTTATCATAGTTCATCATAGCTCATAATGATGCAGCGCAGTGAGGAGATGTTAGAGGAGACAAGTGTAACGTGGATCTATCTGTCTATCACTGTTAACATAGACTGCAGTCTGCAGTGTAGTTCAGACACTTCACTGATAAACCACAGAACTGCAGAGGAACATAAGCTTCATGATCGAAGAACGTTTTTAATCTCACATTTCTGTCCATAAGCCCTCTCTCACCTCTGAGTCTGCATCACACTATTTTTTGTATAAATTGATGGTTTTTATAAAGTTTCTAGGGGGTAGTGCAACCCCCTTTAGCACCCTCACCTTCAGTGTCCATGCCTGTGCACATTGAGTGAGTAGTAGTTACTTTAAGAGTGGGTGAATTATTCAATTTTTGCATGTCTGTCTGGGCCCTTTGCAGATCCAGGGTCGTTTCAATTTAAATGAATGAAACATAGCTAATGGAGTGACATAACTTAGTAATGTTACTTTTGCTGCTGAGTAGCTGCTGCTACTTACAGTTTTCAAGTACTTTACCAAATTAGCTAATTAGCCACAAAGCTACTGGTCATACCAGACCACATAAGGCTGCACCAGCAAAACCCCTGAGTGTAATAAATTGAGCAGTGGTGCATTTTATTGCTTATGAATTCGTGATTTTTTTTTTGTGAGAGGAATAACTGTTGCATTATTCTTTAATTAAGGGGTCACAACTTCCTAAAAGGTTCAACCACTCATCTAGATGATAAATTTAAAGCTCCAATTCTCATAGCCTATTACTGACCATATAGGATGAAATATTCATATTTCATCAGTCTGATGTCGCCTACATGGTCCAACCTCGTCAGCAGACTCACTGGTCTGTAAAGTGGTGGCTCCTGCCAAATGTCTCAGGGGAGGGGGCAATTGTTGCGATGATGGCTAAGGTGACCAGTTCAATGGTCTTAGTCTGCTATAAGACAAGGATTGTTCCTTAGGCTACATACTGTACAGTATTTGTGAACAGCTACATCCTTATGTTCATTGTCAATGTCTACAATGAATTAACAGTCCACAGTGAAGATCAACAGATCTTTAGACCTTTGGATGTAAAGGCAACTACTTTAGCAATATTGAAAAAAAGAATGACTGTCACAATCATCTGATTTAGCTGTGACAAACCTTTTATTTAGGAACAATAAATCCAGAATAAAGCGCAGTGGCACTTGGCTGATGATGTGCAATGAATAAAATTATTTACAATTAATCTTGTGTTGCAGCTAAGGGACCCGTCTCAAGTAATAGGCTACAGTTATGTAATAATGTCACATATGCTGTATATGAAGGTGGATCAAACATAGCTAATCTTAAATGTTTAATGGGCTACAGAGGAGCACAGTATTAACTTTCATTCTTTAAGTTACACACATTACACTAGTAACTAGAGACTAATAAGGTAAGCAGAGAGTAGTAAAAAATCCACTTGTTATCCTGTCGATACACAGTATTATTAGGACTGTGGGCTGTATTAAAGTATCCACTGTTCTCCTGTCCTCTATAATCACACAGTAACAACGAACTATGTGCTCTCTCACATTCTCACTCTGTATTTACACATAAACATCAAGGCGTGTAAGGGGAAATATGAAAGGTATATTCTATTATTATTATTGTTTTATTTTCTTTGTTGCTTTCCTACTTCTTCTTCTTTTTACCCTCCTCTGACAAGATGCCAGTGGTGGCCACATCATGCTAACGTTACCTCCTTATTCTTCTTTGGTTTCTGGCAATAAAAGAAAAAAACAACACATCAAATAATTGTTAATGGTTAAGTGCAGCTAACTTTAAATTGACTCCACCACCACACGTAAAGCAAGGCTTAATAACAATCACATTTAACATAAGCATAAAATTCGGCTTAATAATAACTATCAAGTTTATTAGCTTAGCCTCTGGCATTTTACGGAGCATAAATTAGCCTAGTGGCTAGCTTTCCTCCCCTCACAGCTTAACAAATTACATGTATTATTTATACTGTGTCTTACTCACCGCTGGTAAAGTTGCTGCATCTCCAGACACCACGGTTGAATTTTCAGCCTGAACGTACGTTTTCTACAGCAGCTGCTCGTAGTGAGAGCAACAACCTGAAGGACTGCCGAGTGGTTTTCAGGTGGCAGAAGCGTAGCTCTGCTGCTGGGCGCATGACGTAAACACGTTAGTGCGAGCCCTCCAGGAACCCATAGAGATTGCATTGCAGCGGCCGCAGCTCGAAAAAAAAACTGCCTTTACATGAAAGTCTATGAGAGAGATCTGGGCGATTTACAGCCAGACTGAATTCGCCCCAAAAGAGGCGGGACTCCACGGAACACGACTTGACGCTGATTGGACAGCGATATTCAGAGACAAACTGTCTGTCAAAAACAGTCACAGCTAAGTAACAGTGTGGTAGAAAGTGTGAGAAAAATCTCCTGCCTTTTTCCCGGCTTGGCGGTGCGTCGCCCGGTCGCCCTAATTAACAAGCTGCCCCTGGTCTGTACAGTATCTGCTACAGAGTCAGATGAGTAGCACTCTCTCTCTCTCTCTCTCACTTACACACACACACACACACACACACACACAGAGCAACAGCTGCTGCTGCAGCACGTTCTGCCGGGTGAAGGAGGCAGCGCAACATCCAGACGCACTTGTGGGTTATTAAGAGAGGTTTCGGCTCTGAACATTCACAGATTGATTCACCTTCTCCTCCCTGCAAGCAAGTCCCTCTCAGGATTGAAGACACGTCAGGATGGCAGCAGCCTCGACAGATTCGGGGCAGGGGTCCACCAAAATAACTCCTCAAGTGCTGCAGGAGATGCTTCAGTACTACAACCTGAGCCGCCAGGAGTTTATCAACACTTACAACATCCAGCCGCTCGTCTACATCCCCGAGTTACCGTCAAGCGCAAAGACCACCTTCGTGATCGTATATATGGTTATTTTCGTCATGGCTCTGGCTGGAAATAGTTTGGTCATCTACATAGTTTTGAAGAAACGGGCGATACACACGGCGACAGATATTTTTATTTGCTCTTTGGCGGTCAGCGACCTGCTCATCACTTTCTTCTGCATACCTTTTACTTTGCTGCAGAACATCTCCTCTGAATGGTTCGGGGGTGAGTTTTTAACCTCTAAACTTATAGTCTACTTCATACTTTTTAAGACCATGTCAGGCATGAGAATCAGTATCTCGAACAATTTGGAATCTTTCTCTATGTAGTGTGGAAAATAAGAAAAGCATAATATGAAATATATCTACCTAAATGTTTGCAAATTCTTGTTGAATTGGTCCTATACAGTCTTATTGTACCATGCATCAGTTTAACTGAGTGAATAAAGATATTAAAGTGAAATAAAAGTTGATGTAGTCATATACTCTAGATAAGCTATTGAGCACAATAACTATTGAGTAGGCCTGCTGAACAATGAATGAAACCAAATACAGCAGTGGGACGATGCCATGCCAAACAAATATGTAAAAGCAAGAAAACAACGCAAATTATGGCGGCCAGCAAGCAAACAAAACATTGATCCCTTCCAGAAATGACCTTTCAAAGAGAACCCAAATTATTGCAGCAATAGCTCTCAATGACACCTCTCCTGTCTCCTCAAGGGTTCAGTAGTAAACACAGGCTATTTATTTTTAGTCACAAACCTGAAGGGACTGAGACTTTGAGGTGAGGAGAGGAGGTAATGTGGAAAATACAGTATAGGCTATTCAGAGAAAAATTATAAAACATTTCTACACAGATGCAATGGGTGCATTGACGACTGCCACATGCACAATGTTAACTCATGAGCACTGGAATATTACAGGCTGTGCAAGATACACTCTAGCTTTTGCATTGGCCAACAGAAACTTCACAACAAATGATAATGAATGAGAGTTGTAATTATAACCTAATACAGTGCTTTGTAATACTGTTGTTGATTGAGCTTTTGAAGCTGTGACATATAATGAATTGTTATGTTACTGTTGTAAATTATTGCATTGCACGAAATTTAAAGGCTTGACAATATATAACAACTCTTTTACAGCCTTTAAAAAGCAGCAAAGAGCTCAAATGCCACGTCTTTGACAGGATATCATTTTATTTAAAAATTCACAACACTGTGACCGTGTCCAATACCAATGAGGACATCTCAAAGAAATGTAACCAACAGCTGACATTCAGTGTATCATAGCAATAGAAATTCAGTTAAAAGCAGATGCTCCTATTAAAATATGGTCACAATTAGTTAAGAATGAAGCAGGGTAGACTTAAAATGTGGGCCTTACAGTGCATGAGATTTAACCTAGGTTTCAGCTCTGTGCTTCATTAGCTGTGAAATATGTGTGAGTACCTATTCAAGTGTAATCAGAGATGGTCGTTTTGTCAATGAAACCCCACAGGCAGATGAAAAGGATGAGGAATAGCTCACCCCCATTTCCAGTCTGTTCAAACAAAGGGAGTGATGTTAACTTTAATAGAAATGCATGTTTTCTGCTTCTGTTTCTCAGTATCTCATTGTTTCATCCCTCTGTTTTTAATGCAGGGGTCCTGGTTTGCAAGACAGTTCCCTTTGTACAGACTACAGCCATAGTGACAGGCATCCTCACAATGACCTGCATTGCCATTGAGAGATACCAGGGCATTGTCTTCCCGTTGAAAATGAGAAGGCAGTACTCTTCCAAAAGAGCACACAAGATGCTAGGTATTATATATTTGCACAAGTGTCTTATTATGCTTTTAGGAGTGGATGTGTTTGTGCGTTCAAAGAAGCCTTTTTTCTGTGGCTATACCTCACATATTCTATGCTTTGTGAGATCCAATTAAAGCTAGAAATGTGCTATACCTACACAGAGAAGAGTGCTATGAGTAGTAGGTCAGAGGCTTGAAGAAGGGCCGATGCTCACCCCTCTCAAATCTCAACAAAGGCTGGTACTCTCCAGGCTTCATGTGGGCAAATACATATGGGGGTTGTTCATAGACGTGGCTGTTTGTTTTACACTAGTGTAGAGTTTGAGTGTAATGTTTACATACTTTTTCTTTTCCGTTTTGAACCCGCCTCCTAAACAGAGTTGGATTAACAAATCAGCTTACTTGACGAGCAGGTTTGCACAACACATTGTTGAGATTTGGTACCATAGGTGTGCACTTCAGATCAACGAGCCCAAATGTGGTTGGTTGATCTGACTTCCTGTCAGGGGGTCAGAGAAAACATCAATGTAAACGACTCTGAACAACACCTGTGTAAGTCCAATCAAATGAAGTGCATTTTTATTTATATACCCCAATATCACAAATTACAAATTTGCTTCAGGGGGCTTTACAATCTGTACAGTATACACCCCCTGTCTTTAGACCCTCGATTCGGATAAAAAAACACATTCGCATAAGTGCAAAAGGAAACGTCCCAACCTTTATCCCTTGTTTGGTGGGGAACAGTATATTGAGATGTAAAGGAAGTTCAGCAGCAGACAACAGCAATGACGGAAAGTTTTGAAGTGACAGTAATCTATGATGGCACAGCTGCAGCTCTCACTGCTGTGACTTCAACATAAAAAAGAATCAACCTCCTCGTGTCTCGACTCATTTAGTTATGTTTGTGCAGAATTGGAAAGTGTCAAGGAAGAGATTCCTTTGTTTACACAGGGATGATTTGACCCTGAATCTGCTTCCTAATTGTTTTACTTTTTAATCCTCCAGCTACACACAAAGTACACAAGCAAGGATGTGAACAGTGCCACTTGTGTCAAAGGCAGGTTGAAAAAAAGCAAATATATCACAAGCCTTGAGGGTAGAGCCAGACTGATATATCATGAAATCAATATTATTAGCTGAAATTGACTTGCACACAAAATAAAAATTATATGTGAGATTTTTTTTTTGTTCTCATATATACTGCTCAAAAAAATGTAAAAAATACCTAGGCTGAAAAAGTACAAAAACATTTTGTGAGTAGGTTCATACAGGCCGTTTCTGGACAGTTTTATACTGTATATACAAAAGAAGAAACATTAAAAAACAACAACAATAACAACACTCCTTCCTGTTTAGCAGGATTTACACCATTTAAACCAGGGTCACATTTTAAACTTTGTTTCTCACACTTTTGGTTTTATTAAAGGTGATTTCAGATTTTCTCAGTTTCCAAAACAAAGATATAATTACAGAAATTTAAAGTACAGATTCTGTTGAGGTCATCATTCTAACAGCTAATGCCTTTGTGTGTTTTGATTCAATGCTGAGTACAGCCAAACTCGAAAGTCTCTTTTCTGTCATTGACCACAAATAAGTCTTTATGAGCCTGAGAGATGAAAAACTTTGTTTACAGGATGTACTACTCACAGATAAAACAAACACTATTTTATGTAACCTGAACAACTCATAAAACACATCCTGGTATCGACTCCATTAGAGTGGTAGAACTCTAATTTTCCCCTTTTTTCTGTCTAGTACTCCTCGTCTGATGTAACTCGTGTTTGAGATCCTCAATATTTGAATCATAAGCTTCAGCCAATAACAGAACAGCCTCCTCTCTCAAAAAAGTTGTACTTGACGGATTTAGTGCCTGGACACCCTATGTTACAATTTGTGTTAGAAAATCTTCCTATTTCACCAATCATGTTATGCAGAAATGGATAGTACACAGAGACACAAAAAGTGTGTTTGCTGTCTGGAACTACATGCTGTCCCAAGGTGGAGTGGATAATAGTATCCTGAAGCATCTTTGTTGTCTGTCTTCGCCTCTTTGGTTTTCGCTGAGTTGTATCAATGTTACTTCGTTGACATAAATCAAGTGTTTCATTCCATATTTCCTCAAAAAAGGCTTGACTACGGTACTGGACCAGAGTCTCTTTAAGTGCTTCAATAAGTTCAACAGCCTTAGCATAGTCCACTGTTTTATACTGGAGCATGTCTGATAAATATTGGAGTCACTCAGGACCTTTCTGAACAGAACAAGAGATCCAGCAAAATTCAGATCAAGTTGAGCCAATATCACTCTTGCTATACTGCTCTTTGTTGATAGTTCTCAGATGCGATCTCTTCAAGCACCTGTACTATTGGAGGCAACCTGTCCATAACATTGCTACATGTTGTGTGCCCACAGGCCCAACGTGTATCACCTAGCTTTTGGAGTTTCCTTGGTGCACCACCAAACATCTCCCGCTGCACTTACAGCCATTTGTACATAAGACCCAGACATGAATACATATAGTTCCCCTTCGAGGGAACTCGAACTGCGTCGGTTACGACACTATGGGAACGCCTCTAGGCGAAGCAGGTCTGAACGTGAATGAAATCACTCCAATCCTATTGGCTTGTTGCTAGAACGGTAAGGTGTGACGGAATAACCGGAGGAGTATAAAGCACACCTGTACACACTCATCATTAGCTTTTTTCTATTCAGCAGGCGCTCTGTATGTTGTTTGAAGAAAGCTCCAATCCTACAAGCAGTATGTCTTACCTGAAGAAGAAGTCTACCAGCATGTCTGGCAATCAGATGTACAGAAGGTGTGTTTTTTTTTCTTGCCCTCGGTACATCACGGATGGAGATTCTCATGAGATGTGTGTCTCATGTTTGGGGATGGAGCACGCCCGGGCAGCTCTCGAGGGGGCTGCCTGCGCCCGTTGCGAAGCCCTTTCCGTGCGGTACAGCATGGCTCTCTTTTCCGAGGATGGCCGGATGTGTTTTCCCTGTGGTGCGGGCCCTGCGGCCGCTGAGGCAGCCCGGCGGCTTCACTCATGGGTTCACAGCGTGATCTGTCGGAGGATTTCGGGACGGCTGAGGCTTTTTCCCGACCTTCATCCGCTGGCTCCGACGCTTCCTTTCCTCGTTCGGGAGCCGGAGACGCTGCAGCAATCCGACTCCGAGGAGGCAGACGTGCTCAGCGTAGTGGACGATGACTTCCGGGTGTCGGGGCGGCGTCATCTGGCGGCGCCCGACTATGACGTGCTGCTGGAGGTGGTGACTAGAGCCGTGGCTAAGCTCAACATCAACTGGCCACAGGAGGAGCAGACACCACAGGCTAGTGGTAAGCTTGATGAAAGGTTTCTTAAGCACCACACACCACCTCCACGCCGGTCTCTGCCATTCTTTCCTGATTTACATGATGAACTGAGTAATCATGGGGCAGACCCTTTTCTACATGGCTTTCCACACCCCGATCACTGAACTACAGTAATGTGATGGGGGTTAGGGACCGTGGTTATGGGAGGATGCCTCGGGTGGAGGATGCGCTTGCGAGCTATCTCTCCCCTCGACTTGCGTCCTCCCTGGAGGAGCCGGCGTTACCCTCCAGCCATGTCGCACCACATCTACGCTCGTGGGGAAGGCGTACATGGCAGCGGGCCAGGCAGGTGCGAGCTTGCACACCATGGCGGTGCTTCAAGCCTACCAAGCCGACCTGCTACAGGAGATGGTTCAGAGGGGGGGTCCCTCTGAGGAAGATCTGGCGGAGCTTCGCAGAACCACGGAGCGTTAGACGCAGGGCGAAGCGTTCCGCCAGTACCTCCCTCGCCGGTCTGGACCCAAGGCAGCTGAAGCTGCCAGGCGTAGGTCCCTTCCCTCTACGAGCTCCTACGGAGACGAGAGGAAGCAGAGTGTCGCTTCTCGGGGCCCCCCCCGAGGAGCTGGGGCAGCGAGACGGCGCTCTCACCCTCAGCCTTCTGAGAGACGCGATCTGAGGACCGTCATCCAGTCCCGACGGAGCTGAGGGAAGACCGGGGTAGGGGAGTCTTTCTCCCCTCCCATTTCTCCGTGGGTCCTGCGCACTGCCATACATGGGTTTCGACTACAGTTCAAAACCCACCCTCCAAAATTTAACGGGGTGGTTGGGACAAGGTCCGGTGTTGGGACAGGAAGTTCGTACTCTGCTGAGGAAAGGGGCCGTGGAACGTGTCTCCCCCCCAGACAGAGACGCCGGTTCTACAGCCGGTACTTCATAGTCCCCAAGAAGGACGGAGGGCTGCGCCCTATTTTGGATCTGCGGGTTCTAACCGGTCTCTGAGGAGATTCAGGTTCAAGATGCTCATCATCCCCGCCATCGTGACGCACATCCAATCTGAGGATTGGTTCGTCACGATAGATCTAAAGGACGCCTATTTCCACGTCTCCATCCGTCCTTCTCACAGGAAGTTCCTGAGGTTCGCCTTCGGGGGTGTGGCTTACCAGTATCGGGTTCTTCCATTCGGCCTGGCACTTCCCCTCGCACATTCACCAAGTGTATGGATGCAGCACTGGCCCCGCTTAGGCTCCAGGGCATCCGGATTTCAACTACATCGACGACTGGCTCATCCTAGCCCAGTCTCGAGAGTTGGCGGTTCGGCATCGAGATGTTGTTCTGGCTCATCTGCGGCGTTTAGGGCTGAGGCTCAACGCAAAGAAGAGTGTGATGGCGCCCACCCAACGGACTACGTTCCCAGGGGTAGTAGGGAATTCGACAATGATGCGGGCACAATTGTCTCCGGCACGTGTCGACACCATATTGGCTGCCGTGAAAGGGGTGAAGTTAGGCCACGCCATCACTATAAAACGAGTGTTGGGTCTCCTGGCGGCTGCGTCCAGCGTAATACCATCTGGACTGCTGCACATGAGACCCCTGCAGTGGTGGCTAAGGACCAAGGGTTTTTCCCCCGAGGGGAAATCCTCTCCGTCTGATTTGGGTTACGCGCAAGTGTCTTCGTTCCCTATCAGTTTGGAAGAAAACT